ACAAAGACTAAAGACCAACACAAGAAGAGATATGGACCCCAACTATTATGCATGGTATTCGTACGTGTAGATCGTTTTTTCCATACCGTTTTGTTTTATTTCTAGACACTTCGAGTAATACAAATGTCGACGCCATCATTCTGACTAGTTCACCAGACTCGCCGGAAGTAGACACACGCGGTGGTGTGGACGTGGCTATTCAATGTACAATAAAAAATAAACACAAGGAAGTACAAACACTGGCCCGAAGTAAAAGTAGAGCTGTTCAATGTGAACTTGAATTGAAGGACATCAACCACAGGGGGTGCTGTGTAGACAACAACAACAACACGTGCGATGCGTACGTGCAACACGAAGTTACCTATGGACAGACTAATCAGTCCAACGGTGACAGTGCACGTGACAATCAATATACGAATCAATTACAGACGCCCTCATCGAAGAATATGGGAGAATCCAAATGTGATAGTTATGGCGATTGTGGCTATGACGTTCCATTGGAAGACCAACTTGCCCAGGGAGATTCCAACGTACTAACTCACCCTCTACTTCAACATTGGCTTTTAGAGCAGGGTGCGCTGGTACCCTATTATCAGGGCTTGGTTCCACGATTTGTGTAAGTCATCAATGCTATAATTTTACTAGAACAACAATGACGCAAGATTATGCTCATATTATAATATCAAACACTGTGACGAATCGTTCAAACTATTTATTCATCGCAACGCTTAACATTCCAACGAGGGAATTAATTGAAAAATTGCATCGCAGGCGAGTTTATCTGTTTAGTAATAAAAAATGGTGTAAAGCGGCATGGCGCGACAGCAAACTTATCGGGTAGACATGGCATGTATAAAAAAACGAAACTCCAGTCAGTTAACTTTTTCAAAATATTAAATGTTTTATAAAAGGGTGGGTTTAAACATTAATTTTGAAAAACAGTATAGCTGGGTAGATTGAGAAAAGGTCGTAACAAACTGTACGGGGTTAAATGGCCCACCGGCGCTATCAACATTGTTAGCATATATTTCTTGTACTGTCCCAATGAAATGGAAGTAAAAATCTCAGAACCATGTTAAGAATGTGGTCATGTAGGAAATTATTGTCTCATTTGTAAAATTGCTGTAATAAACACACAAGCAACATTCAGCAAGGTTCATGGCGTATTTGACATTTTTTTGGAACGGGGCGAAGATGGGCCATGGTGGGATAAAATGTCAGATTTGTTCATTAAGAAAAGTACAAAAACTTGTTTGCTATATAGAAGTTATCAAACATGAAAATAAAGAAACCGTGGATGCATGGGATGAGTGGGGGGTAGATAGTTAGATTTAAATGTAATTTTAATAAACAATGTTTGCCAGTGAAGTGTTCTACTTTTATTGAATAGTCCTGTCTCAAAAGAAACGCGATGACATTACATTACGACAACAAATTGTAAATCTGAGCACTACACTGTCATGCTAATATTAATTTGGAAACGAGTCAACAATATCATCGAACACATTGTAACGAATCTACCATCCATTTTCTCCGTTAGTGGTATCCATTCTCTTGGTGGAGACGCTGTCAATGTCATTGTAACTTACCGGTAAGTAAACAACAACACCTTCGCGTACGAGTCATAGAAAATACTGTAAAATATGTCTTTTTAGCTAGCATGTTATTTTAGCTAATTTAGCTAATCTGTAATTTCGCTAATTCAAGATGTCACTAATTCAAAATAAAGTATATTCTCACAATGAGATTGTTGGCACTTTAGCTAAATTAAGATTTTGTTAATTCATGCATGGAGTCAAATTAGCTAAAATGGCATGTAGCTATTTAAACATGTTATACAGTACACTGACTACACGTGCTCATTTCATTAGATCGATTGAGTTTGATGACGTCACATGCAACTTAGCAATAGTTAGAGAGAGCAGTCAGATATGGAACGCATGTGTTGACATTGCACATATCCCAAAATATGGCGTGTTGAGTACAGTACCCGGGGTACAGTCAGGCAGTGCGGGTCAGTCTATTTTGTTCATACGGTCAGATACTATCTAAGTAACCTGACATTATGACGTTATTAATGCATGATATTTTTAGACATTCATTTGTAGAGTGTTTCTCGCAATACCACGTTAATATAAATAATACATTGTGTAATTTGCAGGGAGCCCGCCGCAGATACCGACCACAGCTCAGCACCACTGTTGTTGTGGACTGTGATACCATGGGAATGCCGGTCATGTATCGGTGATAAAAATGGTATGGAGGCACTGCACAACCCAACCCATGAAGACAAACACGGCAGCCCAGGCCAATGATCATTTGAAGATGGAAAATATTATATTTGTATATATTTAAAACAGTCTGATTAAAATGAGATCCCAATAGCCTCTTATTTATTAATTTTTTATATATTATTTATTTACCAGCATGTGGTTATAGTTAAAAAAACCACAGGATATAATGTATGTAATAGAAAACAACAACAATTTACAAATAATTGAATATGCAGGAAATAAAAATTCGTACAGTATATGGTATTAAAGTAGCATTTGTTATAGTGACTTGGATTGGATTCTGATTTATACCCATAACGTTATTGTTGCATCATGAAACAGTACTTGATGGTGAACTACGCAAGTACGCATGCTCTTTCAATTTATGGTACGTACCAATAACTCATTACCTATATGCACGAATCGCATTATGTTTCTCATAAGTGATGAGTTCCACAACAGCACGATACACGATGTACCCCGAGTACGTGGGCTTTTCTGTGATATGAAACTGGAACGAGGTACGAGGTGCTTTATCTGACTTACCCCCCTCCCCCCAAGAAATCTACGAATAATCATTTTAAGGGAGTCTCGTTATTTACATCGTCTTCAGGGAGTCTTTTCAACAACACTACATAAACTTTTTTTCTGGCAAAAAGCCTCCATGACTCTTTCCAAATTAAAGACACTGTGAAAGCCACATAAAGTTGTTAAATTTTAATGTATTTTATCCCTACCGCAGCTGGAGCATAAAGCCATGCACGTGACGTAATAACGCCTTATATGGAATTTCTCTGTCGTGTTGAGATGGATTTTTGGAATAATATTCATGTAACCCTATGGTTTCAACGAAGTACAAATGTCTGTTAAAATGCCTGTCTTATTGGCATTTTATTAAATTGAATTATATTGAAGAGTTAATGTTACACAGTACATTTTTTTTATTCGGCAATTGTACCCTGTCTCGAATATTAATGGCGGTGATTGGCATTATGTGGAATTGTGTTGGTGAATGAGGTTGGCGGAGAGTAGTCGCTTAGGTGTTGGAGGGGGACACATAGAAAAATGTAGGAATATGTCGCAATCGTCTATCATGTTTTACATGTCAAGGTTACTATGTTGAAAATGTTTTGTAATTCAACTTCTCAATCACATGAATTTTTTTAGTATGCATTTGGATATGTGGGTTTTCTGTGATTTAGTAAAAGAGGGGAATCGGAGAGGATTTGACTTAGTAAATACGAGTCATTTAAGTGGACATGTTGATGTCGCCGACTTTTCCATTCATGTACTATGAATAACGCTGGTGTCTATGTACGCCGCTGGTGGCCTGATAACGCGTGTCACGTAGTGTACGACCATATATTACTACTACAGCCGACCCAAGTACACGCGGCAAGAAAATGTCATAAAATATGGGGTAGACGTTGCATATACTGACAGGTGTACCCCACATACGAGATTCATCCGTACTGAGTCATCTGCAAACAATTCTACTCAATACACTCACTACCCCTATTCTATTCTATTCTATTCTATTCTATTCTATTCTATTCTATTCTATTCTATTCTATTCTATTCTATTCTATTCTATTCTATTCTATTCTATTCTTCGTATAAATCGTTATTATCGCAGACACTTCTCGTTCCTGCACTGCATTTGAACTGCATCGCCATTACCAGTTTATGGCGCTCGTTAATAATTGCATGCTACCAGTAAATCATACCAAGTTACTGTATCGCCCACTTACACTACTTCCGTCTTATTCCTGGTGTATGTGCGTTTCAGTCGTCGTGCCGCGTCGTGTTCGATAAGGTCCCATGCAACGAATACAACGCATGTAAAATACATTGTTTACATGAAATTCTGTCGTGCTTTTCTCAGCCTTTTTATGCGGGCTTTAGTTCCTAAGATCGAACGTAATCCGTGAAAGCCCAAGGTCGATGAAAAGGGGCGTGTCATATGTAAATAACCATAATATAATACGTGTAAAAATGTATATTAAAATATTTGCATATATACTATTACATATTTGTTAACTATGTCAATGTATGTTGGTTTGTTTATGTTTGTTTATTTATAGTTTCAGTAGCCACGTGATTGGAATTTGTTGTTTTTTATTTAAATGTAATAAATCAAATGACCGTGCTTCAGGACACTCGGGGAAGGTATTCCACTCAACATAACACATCTTCCATTCACTACAGACAAACAAGATGTGATAACCACTACCTGTCACTCAAGACTCCGGACATTCGTCGAATATTTTCAGAAATACCACTATCTGTTAAATTCCTTGACCTAGGCCAAGTGTTTATTTAGAGTTTGTGTTTTGATGTATTTGCGCGATATGTTCCCAAAATCATGAGCTATCTCGTATTATACATTGTTCTAAATTCTATTCTATTCTATTCTATTCTATTCTATTCTATTCTATTCTATTCTATTCTATTCTATTCTATTCTATTCTATTCTATTCTATTCTATTCTATTCTATTCTATTGCATTCTATTTTATTTTATTCTATTCTATTCTAGTCTAGTCTAGTCTATAGAGTCAGCACTCAGCATAGTGGCACCCACGTCTGATGGTGTATGGTAACGTCACTGCGCAATATGATAATTAGAACGTTGGTGATATTTCCACTGCTTGGCCTGCTATGTACTCAGCTAATTCCTTGGTTTCAAGTTACATGATAACAACACTTTACTATGTACTGGCGGATTTAACGAGATAGTACAGGGCAGTGTTGATTGAACGTCTTCCACGGACCGTCGTGCCTAGAAAGGTGACCTCCGACCAATGTACCCACATTCAGTGACTGACTGAGTTACGGAGACGACAGCCAACCTGCCGTCGAGCTACTGGCCAAATATCCCTAAGCCGGCAAGTCTTCGCTCTCCATCGGGTTTGTCCATGTTATTTTCAAGCACTTGTTCACATATATGTCTTTACTTAACGCGTTTGACTAGTCGACAATCACAGCCCTTTTAAGTACATCAAAGATCCTGAACACACGGCAGTCATCATGCTCCACGAATTGATCGTCATCGATATTGGGTCGGATGGAAGCCTGGTCATATTGGCATCACAGATCTACCGCGGACACCACAAGATCCGAAAAAGCAAAGTACCGCCAACAGTAGAAATTGTAATGGACATCAAGAAGACCACATAGTGCCGTTCATATCCGGACATCTCACACACATACACGAAGCATTACGGACCGCGTACTGTCAGATATTTGGTTTCTGCAGTTCGCAATCAAAAACATTGAACTCAGTAAATCAACATGGGCGGCTTCCCGCAGTCAGGAGTGTCGTATACACGGTCTGGTTGAACTCGATAAGAGATAAGTAAGTATTAACTTTGTTTTGTATATTTCAATAACTCTGATAGCGTCACGTCACTTGATTTGGTTTTACGTAATAATTCTATACAGTGGCGTACATACGTAATGAATTTCAGCAATTAACACTGAGATCATTTCAGTGTTGGTTCCCCACAAATCATTGTTTACAACCGGCTGCTTGTAACCATACATCACGGTTGCTATAGAAACGCTGGCAACTTTCTTGGCCTGGGTCTTGTAAAAATTGAGATGATGCTAGACACACACCGCTGCTAACTACTGTATAGCACGGTTGCTAAAGAAATCACTAGCCGTGCGTACAGGGATTATAACTATAAGCCTCTGAAGTGATAGACTATAAATATAACGATTGTAAAGTTGATGCATTGTGATATTTCTTATAAGTGGCGTTAAAAAGCAATCTATATATATGATAATATAATAAAATATCAGTTTTCTTCTCACGGATTACGTTAACTACTTTATCCCAGATCGTGTCGTATTGCAAAATTGAGTCACGATCCCGGCCACCTGCTATGTCTATATCGGATACGTCAGCGAATGTGAAACGTGACAATTACAGGAAGTTTTGAGACTATATGGGGTAATTAAATTGAAAATGATGGGCGTCATCGTAACGCGTGAAGTGTATACCGACCAGCCATAGTTGACAAACACGATCGTCGTCGGCATGCCGAGTAGCCACGCAAGCGGGTGTATCAACGCACTCGATGTAATAGAGTAATCGCAACAGTTTTTTAATTCATACTTCCCGTTACTAGTGTATTCCAAATATTTAGAATCCTGTTCTTCATGTTATATGAGACACACGCAGTATTGGCCAGCCTCCAGCATAAAAAAAGGAACGCGGCATGTTTAATGAATTCCAAGATTACGTCATTTGATCTTTGTATTGAAATAATTGTCAGATTAAACACGTACATACATGTGATTCGTGGTGAAATTTATGGCATTTCGAGCAAACTCTGTTTCTGTCGACCCTTATGTTATCATTGAGCTTATTCTGTTTAATAAATCGACACAGTGTTGGTGACATTTTATAAACAGTTTACAAGTTTTCAAACAACCGTATTGATGAAAAAGTGGTCTTCTTTTTGATACCAATATCTAAGATTACGCCGTGGTACGAGAATTTAGTAACGACGACTAGCTGAGAGATTGGGCTGTATATTCAGTATGTCACGGTACGGTAACGTAGTAATGACCACTAGCTGAGAGATTGGGCTGTATATTCAGTATGTCACGGTACGGTAACGTAGTAATGACCACTAGCTGAGTGATTGGGCTGTATATTCAGTATGTCACGGTACGGGAACGTAGTAATGACCACTAGCTAATTGACGTATAAAATATTCCCACCTTACTGTAGCATTTATCACATTTGTCTGTTTTCTATCAACAGCTTGACTCTGTCATACTTTCTTAATATAGACATCATTATCTGGCCAGTTAAGTGACGCTTGCGAGGGTATGCATTACATGCATTAAATATGCCGAGTTCATCTATTCATAGTAACGTAGTGGCGGCTCAATCCTTTCTGACTCGCATACTTCATGTCACAGCACATCAGTTATTATCAGCTATCTTCGCGACTCGATATCAAAACACATCAATTATTATCAATATATCATTGCGACTCGATATCACAACACATGAATTATTATCAATATATCATTGCGACTCGATATCACAACACATGAATTATTATCAATATATCATTGCGACTCGATATCACAACACATGAATTATTATCAATATATCATTGCGACTCGATATCACAGCACATCAATTATTATCAATATATCATTGTGACTCGATATCACAGCACATCAATTATTATCAATATATCATTGCGACTCGATATCACAGCACATCGATTATTATCAATATATCATTGCGACTCGATATCACAGCACATCAATTATTATCAATATATCATTGCGACTCGATATCACAGCACATCAATTATTATCAATATATCATTGCGACTCGATATCACAGCACATCAATTATTATCAATATCATTGCGACTCGATATCACAGCACATCAATTATTATCAATATATCATTGCGACTCGATATCACAGCACATCAATTATTATCAATATATCATTGCGACTCGATATCACAGCACATCAATTATTATCAATATATCATTGCGACTCGATATCACAGCACATCAATTATTATCAATATATCATTGCGACTCAATATCACAGCACATCAATTATTATCAATATATCATTGCGACTCGATATCACAGCACATTAATTATTATCAATATATCATTGCGACTCGATATCACAGCAGATCAATTATTATCAATATATCATTGCGACTCGATATCACAGCACATTAATTATTATCAATATATCATTGCTACTCGATTTCACAACACATCAATTATTATCAGCATATTGTTGCGAATCGATATCACGTCACATCAATTATTTTCAGCATATCGTTGCTGCTCGATATCACAGCACATGAATTAGTTACCATAGCGTAGTAGCTTGATATCTCACAACGCATCAAATAGTATTAGCGCATTGTAGCAGCGCGATATCACGATATTAGAAGAAAGAGGATACACTGTTAAACATCACACCTTTGTCCATTTAGTTCAAGAATGATGAGCAACGGTAAAGGTTTTGTTCACAACTTAGCCTCGCCATTTGAACCTAAAAAAACCCTCATAATTGACACCGTGGGTCACGTTTATGATATATATTTGTAATATTCTCTTTTAATAGTCAAAATTCTATGGATATTTGTTATATGACCACATACAGTATGTCATAATTGCCGGCATACCATCTTGACAATCATAAACATTTATTTACTAATAAATATCAGCCTCGCAGCCATCGTTCTACAAATTACGGCTATAAATACACTCGTACATATCAAATGTCAGTATTCTATGGCTTATGCAACGACTGCAATCGTAAATTCTTCACAAACTGACGCGAAAGTATTTTCGGGTTATTTAATGATTATTAATTTGATATACACATTTGATGATAAATTATTTTGATGAAGTTAGGGGAGCTTAACGCACTATTTCCCTCTCAAAGATCGGCATTTTGACAATTAAATCGTTCTATTTTTTGCGGCAGACGTCTGTGCCTTTCACACAAAACGCGGGATCTCGCAGTATAGGGAAAACCACCGGTTGCCCGACCATCATAAAAGAAAACCAAAATATTTAAAAACTTTCTTTTATATGTGTACTATTCAAATGTGTTGGCTTGCCTGTAAAGAAAGAAAGGGGAAAATATTGGGATCAACTTGTCTGTCGTCGTTAACACTCTCCTGTGTCTCGAATATTTTTCTTCAATTATTTCGAAACTTATGTATACTGCCAATCAATGTAGAATCTTGGTAAGTTCAGTATTGAAATGTCTGGCACATATGTAATCGGAGTTAGTTGTCAATTAATATATGCAAATCATAGCGGCTCGATATCACAGCACATCAATTAATATCAATATATCATAGGGACTCGATATCACAGCACACAAATTTATATCAATATATCATAGCGATTCGATATCACAACACATCAATTAATATCAATATATCATAGCAGCTCCATATCACAACACATCAATTAATATCAACATATCATAGAGGCTCGATATCACAGCACATCAATCAATATCAACATATCATAGAGGCTCGATATCGCAACACATCAATTAATATCAACATATCATAGAGGCTCGATATCGCAACACATCAATCAATATCAACATATCATAGAGGCTCGATATCGCAACACATCAATCAATATCAACATATCATAGAAGCTCGATATCACGACACATCAATCAATATCAACATATCATAGCGGTTCGATATCGCAACACATCAATTAATATCAACATATAATAGAAGCTCGATATCACAACACATCAATTAATATCAACATATCATAGAAGCTCGATATCACATCACATCAGTTATTATCAACATGTCATAGCGGCTCGATATCACAACACATCAATCAATATCAACATGTCATAGCGGCTCGATATCACAGCACATCAATTATTATCAATATATCATTGCGACTCGATATCACAGCACACAAATTTATATCAATATATCATAGCGTCTCGATATCACAGCACATGAATTAATATCAGCATATCATAGCGTCTCGATATCACAGCACATGAATTAATATCAGCATATCATAGCGTCTCGATATCACAGCACATGAATTAATATCAGCATATCATAGAAGCTCGATATCACAACACATCAATTAATATCAACATATCATAGCGTCTCGATATCACAGCACATGAATTAATATCAGCATATCATAGCGTCTCGATATCACAGCACATGAATTAATATCAGCATATCATAGAAGCTCGATATCACAACACATCAATTAATATCAACATATCATAGCGTCTCGATATCACAGCACATGAATTAATATCAGCATATCATAGCGTCTCGATATCACAGCACATGAATTAATATTAACATATCATACCGTCTCGATATCACAGCACATGAATTAATATCAGCATATCATAGCGTCTCGATATCACAGCACATGAATTAATATCAGCATATCATAGAAGCTCGATATCACAACACATCAATTAATATCAGCATATCATAGCGGCTCGATATCACGACACATCAATCAATATCAACATATCATAGCGGTTCGATATCACAACACATCAATCAATATCAACATGTCATAGCGGCTCGATATCACAGCACATCAATTATTTTCAATATATCATTGCGACTCGATATCACAGCACACAAATTTATATCAATATATCATAGCGTCTCGATATCACAGCACATGAATTAATATCAGCATATCATATCATAGCGTCTCGATATCACAGCACATGAATTAATATCAGCATATCATAGAAGCTCGATATCACAACACATCAATTAATATCAACATATCATAGCGTCTCGATATCACAACACATCAA